GGGTTTTTTTTTTTTTTTAAAAAAAAAAAAAAAAAAAATCAAAATGAAGTAAATTAAAAGGAAATAGATAAATAGGATTTAATGGCAAAATGTGTTGATGGATTTTAGTCCTAGTTATTCAATATCTCCCTGGGTATGTGTCAGCGGTAACAGTTCTATCATCTGTTAATAGGGAAAAAAAAAAAAAAAAAAAAAAATGTATGTAAACATGTGCGCTAAGACCAATAATAGTAATAGTTGGAGACAGGCTGGACATTTTTAAGTGGCCCAAAGGAACCGTGTTCCTCAATAAAATTAGGATGAAGAAGATGCAGTTGAGAATTCAGGGCACAGGACAATGTCCATCACAGATTGAGGAATGAATATTTGTTAGTATATGTAGGGTTATTTTTAATTTTTATTTATTTATTTCAGGTAATTATCACTTTTACCAAGTAATGGCTTGCAGGCTCCTCTCATTAATGAGGCTAATAGAAAATGTTTGGCAGATACACAGGTTTATCATGTCATTTTTCTCATCAACCAAGAACTATGACATTAATTTTAATTAAACAACAATCAACCAAGTAGCATTTAACAATCAATGTAGCTGAGATTTTTTTTTGTTTCTTGTCTTTCTTACAAAAACCAATCACCCAGCGTCTTTCTATGTAATCAAATACCCAGGCTCTGCACCTCCCCCCCTTTTCCATAATTTTTGACATTAGCAAGTGATGATGATGATGGTGATGATGATGATGATAATAATGAAACGTTTATATTTTTTTTTTTTTTCTTACATTACAAATAATATTTGGGATGAGTGAATTCATAGGTTAAGGGTGGGAAAATTTGAGCACAATGAAATCCTTTGGTTAGCCTATAAATTAATGAGAGAGGAGCAGTTCTTAGCAAAAGAGATTATAACTTTCCCCCCCAACCCCTTCTTTGATCATTTCAGTTAAAATAAAATTCCTTTAATAATTAAGGATGATGGCACATGAAGAATATTTGTGAATATCACAGGAAATATTATTGGTCACCTGCTGACCCATAGTTAGATAATTATAGTAGAATAAAGTGCAATGTGTATCCCCCAACCCCATACTTATTTGTTCCTGACAGGGAGGAGGGGGAGTGGAGATGTGAAGAGGATAGGAAGATGCAGCAAAGGAAAAACAAAGAAAGGGGGGAAAAAAAAAAAAAGACAAAATAAGAAACAAATTTTTCTATTTTTTTTTTTTTAAATAAAATATAAACCACCAATGTGGATTAAAAAATGATCACAGTCGCTGATTGGTCTCCCCCTCATGTCTAATGACATTTTGTTGCTAAGCAACATGTGAGGGGGGGTCAACAAATATTCAGCAGAATAAACAAAACAAGAAAAAAAGAAAACAAAAATGAAAAACACTTCTCTAAGCTTCTGACCTAGCAGTTAAATCCATTTGGCTCAAATAGTTATAATTTTACAACAAAATTTCTAGAATAAAAGGACCCTATGTCAGTAGTACAATAGATTGTATCATTTCAGTTTTAAATTACAATTTTGTTGAATCTCCTCATAAAGAGTTCTACTTGATAAAGGGAAAAAAAAACAAATTAAAAAAAACAGAAACCAAATAAAAATTTTTTTAAAAAACTGTCCACTCACTATCCTAAATTTGTTTACAATAATTTCCTCACCTTTGATTTAATTTCAATTAATTTTAATTTCAATCAAGAGATTATTTAGAGTTGACATGTCTGATGTAAGAAATCCACCTCTGTGGACTATATTACAGTGTTATACAATATGTCATCTGTAAATAACTTTTAAAGAAATGATTTATTTAACAAGCCAACATACTTATTTATCAATCTCAGGAAGATTTAAAAAAAAAAAAAAAAACATTAAAGTTAGGCTTCCTCTAATAATCACAAATTTCTGATTAAAATATTAAAATCATTACAATAAATTGATTTTTTTTTTTTTTACCTCAGAGCCAATGTATCACTATAACCCTCTTATAATGATTATGAAATATGGTTTTGGAAATTTACAACTTTGTTGTAAAAGTTGTAGATTTCAAAAGTTGCCTGTATTTGATCAAATGATAGGTGTTAATGCTGTACTGCAATACAATGCTATCCAATTGCAGCTGCTTTCAGGTACACCTGGATTGTAAACGTACGAAACTTGTAGTTGCATTTGGATGCTTCAGGCATTAAAGAGTTAAAATGATGAAGTAATTAAATGTTAATTTAAAGAATCAGCTAAATTTTCTGATTTGAAATCCAAGAATAGAAAAAATATTTACTTTGACTAAGAAATGTTTCCCTGTAGTAATCTGGCAATTTAAAATATTAGCTGTATATCTGGAAATGCAGAAAACAAATTGGGAATTAATTATCTATTGAAGGGTGTTCAAAATTAGTTTAAAATGGAAATAGATTTGAAAGATCCTATGCCCCAAATGTTGATGTTGCTAATAACTCAATATATTATTCATACATCCATACATACTCATTTTTCTTTTTATATACTATTAAAGTGTTGTTAAAAAATTTAAATAAGTATTCAACAGGTTTAGTCAACCGTGGTTATGACATGCAATTTGTCTAATGTACCATTACTTCCATGGAGCCTTTTCTCAGCTGTAAAACTTAGATGCATGCAAATACAACATGAGGACAATGAATTTAATTTTGTTAGTTACCAGTTGCTTTAAAAATATTGCTTGTTTGTTGGGTCACTTCAAAAGCTAATCAGAAAATAACCAAATATATTCCAGTTGCTGTTTGATTTCAAAAAAAAAAAAAAAAAAAAATGGACAACAGCCATAGATGCTAACAAAGGATCCTTCCCGAGAAGGAAGGAATAGTGAGGAAAAAAAAAAAAAGAAAAAAAAAAAAGCTGTTAAGGATTTGGATAGAATTCATCAGTTAGAGACAGTTTCTCTAACTTGGCACAAAATTGTGATTATGAATTTTTCACTGTAGAATTGCAGCAGAATAAACCCATTATTTGTGCACAACTTAAAAGCAAGTGATCAGAATATAAAATACTTGTTACATCCATGAAATATAAGTGTATATTAAAAAAATAAGTATTATATTTTGAGGCAATCTATGATAGTGTCTCACAAAAGGAAAAAGTCAACCTGCATCAAAATGTTTCATAAACAACAACTAGTCTTTCAAAAGATGAAACCATTCATTTCTAGGATTGTTCTAGGACATAACAATGGCTATTTTTTTTTCTACCAGTCATCAATTCAAAAAAAATCAAAATGAACTGTATACACACAATTTTTTTAAGCTTGCTGCCATAGCCAACTAGTCAGGCAGTATTTTTTTTTTAAATGTTTTGACACATATTGTTAGTAGTTTTGTCATAAGACACAACTGCAAAGGATAAAACAGTTCAGAAAAAAGAAAAACACACACACACACAAGGCTCCATGAATGAAAAAGTACCAGAAAAGAACCTTAAAACAAAACTAATGTCATATTTCTAATTTAAATTTATTAACAGCAATGTTTTTAAGTTAACAGTAAAATACTGGTTTTTCAATTATCAACTAAAAGCTATTTTCAATTTTCTTCATATTGTATTTATGTGATAAATAATGGGATAAATATTATTTCACAAAGCATTAAGAAGCATAAATAAAAACATGAGTTTTAATAAAACAATTATATTAAAGCAAAGTTCCTATTATTAGGTCCTGAAAATCTCCGTATGTATTTATTCACTCTGCTTTTTGATTGATTATACATCTATTCAGCACTGAAATTACACAACTACTGAGAGTATTAAAATTCATATTAAAAGATTAAAAAAAAAAAAAAAAAAATTAAACAATATAACTTGATAAAAAGATGCCAATAAATCTCATCTATTCCTTTTCAAACTCTGCTTACATGCAATTTATCAAGTCACCTTAAATTGAGGTCTTCACACAGCACTTCTTCACACTACGTAGCCAAGAATTAACACAGCCAGGAGAAAACTCATGTCTATCTTGGGTTAAAAATAATCTAAAATATTTTACCTTTACACAATAACAACAAGTATCTATCTCATATAAAACAATCATTTGTTTTTTTTTCATTTTTTAAGGATATAATTCAAATCTAAAAATATTAGGTATTTAACATAGAATTTCTTTTTAAATTAACATAGGCTCTCAGATACTACACATTCATTGAAGTAACAAGAACAGATGTTGTAGAGATCAAAGGCTAACAACATCTGAATTACATAGAATACAAACAGGTCTATCTTTATCAAATAAATTTGTCTCTCTTGTTTCATGCAACTGTCAGTGCATTAGAGTACAATTCTGGTGAGCACAGGAAGTGAGATATTGAATTTCATCTAGTAATTCGAAAAGGCATGATTTCTATACATTTCTGCAGTAATCAAATCTTAACTACTGGTTTACATCATTTGTTATACACACAATTTACAAAGAAAATAACAATGCATGTGCAAGTGTCAGAATAGACTTTAACTTAATTCTTTTTTATAAAGAATCTACTCAAGAAAAACTAACTTGGACAGATGATCACAAAAGCCATTTTATCCCAGGCAATGCTAGATAACCCCACTAGAATAAATATATAATCTAATAATCAATTCTGCACTGTTATTAGTAATATTTTTTTTTAAAGTGAAATTTTAAGAGGATCTATCTGCTAGGTATGAAGCTGAAGGCAACTATGAACACTGATAACCACCAGGCAAGTGGCAAAGACAGCACTCAAAACTGGACAACACGACCAGCTTTTTTTTTTTGTTTCGTTTTCCCAGAGACATGGTTCAGAACAGAAGCCAACTTCTGAAGTTGACATCCTGCATTTTAAAAAAAAAAAAAAAAAAACAAAACAAAAAAAAAACAAACACATGAACGTTATGGGAAAAGTGGAGAAGTTGAATTTCAGAATTGTGTAGCAAATTGATGAATTGTTCAAAATTGAATTGAGGAGAAATGGTGACAAGAGAATAGACAGGGATGGACAGGCAAGATTAAGATTTATCCATCTCCTGTTGTCATACGGGATTTTTTCTCACTCGTGGGCTGGTCATCATGGTCTGCTTGTAAAGTTACAGGGAGTGAGGCCAATGTGAGGACGGGGTTTATGTGGTGTTGCACGATTAGTGGTTGCTGTAGAGTTTGAGAAAGTGAAGAGAGAGACACTTTGGGTGATGTTGAATCCCGAGGAGGAGAAATTGGTTCACTCTTGACTTTGCCTATGTCTGCCAAATTCAGTGTGCTGAAAAACAAAAAGTCATTAAGTTTCAAATTAAAAAAAAAAGTTTAGTCATGAAGATGCTTTTTAACAGATATGCAAATTTTTCAGAAAATGAGAGCAATTGTCACAGCTTACATAGGAATTTGAAAATAATTATGAACCTTGAGAACAAAATAAATGACTTGAGAAATGCAAGTAGAGATGGTACCAATGTACACTCTTTATTAGCAAGTACTTCTAAGATCACAACATATAACTAGAACATGAATGTCAGTAGCCATCAGTCTCAGGAGTTCACTTTGTGGTTATTGAATCCCTGTTGAAGACACCTACCCAGGCATGTTTATATTTCTTCAATACCCATAGAGTATAAACTCTGGTTTATACTGCAGCTGTTATTGAGCCTTAGTTAGTTTCTGAGAAAGAGTACAAAATCTGGCATGAACAGTAGCTGAACAAGGCCAGGAAACTGAAACCACTGGCCATGATGACTTCTGACTTCATGCTCCCCCCACAGCATCATCAGTGTTCAAACAATTTTCTCGACCCAATTTCAATCACAAGGCTTGGGTCAATCCAAGGTTTTATATTCAATGAAAAGGAATTTATCTCAATGTTTTAATGTAACCTGGGAATGTTATTATCAGATATGAAGACAATATTTTCGTTTCAATAATTTACACTAAGCACAATTTTTAAAGTTCAACTTGTATGTAACTTTCAAACATACTAGTAGAATAAAAATTTGAAATTTTAGTGTAGTTTCTTTACATGAAAGCTTTGTTAACTCTTACACTCTTATGTGGATGTAACTTATGTCTTCATGAAACTTAATTTCCTGTTGACAAATAGGAAATAATCAAGAAACCATGAAATATCAGCCCCAAGTACTTAATGCTATTTCCAAACCAACATAAAAATATAGTAGCATACCAATAGGTAATGAGTTATATTTTTTTTTTATTATATTGTGTGGTGATGTTTAGATTAGCCTGTAGAGTATCCTACTGAAACCAAAACAGGAGGCACTCATATGAAATTGCTGTCAGCATCTTTACTAATCCCTTATTTCCAGTCAATATTAATTTCCTATTTTTCCCCCCCAAAAAATGAGCCAGCAAAATAAGAAGACAATGTTATAACAATGAAAGTGTTAATATCCCAAGAGTTATAGAAACTATTGCCATAATCCTGTGTGTATAAGACACAGGTTTATTTCATCCAAAATTGGGTCCAAAAGTCTGCTGCATCTTATACTTTAATTTAGAACTCAATCCTATTTTTTCCAGGACTCAAAAACGGACAAAATCCGGTCAAAGTGGATTTTACCCGAGTGATAATATCTGAGGGGGTATTGCAACCAAGGGAAATAAAACTTTCATAATTTTTTTTTCTAAGTTCCATACAGTTCTATACTTTGTCCGGATTTTGTTTAGTCTAGACACAAGTGAGTTTGGAAATCATTCAAAAACGATTAAATTATTTAATTTATGATAAAATAAATAACAAAATGATGCATTGTTTCAAAATCACATTTTCATAATCACAAAATAAATAAAATGCATCATTTTTATCCTCCCCCACTTCCTTTTCCAAATGTCTCAGTCATTTTCTTTGCTTCAAAATCAGGCATGTTTTATACATGAAAATCAGTTTTTTTTCCTCCCTGGATTTTCTCTATTTTACTGCATCTTATACTCACTAATATTCTATGCACAAAGGATTACAGTATATTGATTCTGTTGCCTTACTTCATACCACATTCTAGCAGAGCCATTCTACAATGTTCTTTAAGTATTCAATTCTTTAGAAGGTCTTCTTTGCTTCAGAAATTGGTAACAAACATAAAAAAGCAATTATTCTGACCAACTCATTCCCAGCAAACCATGTAACAGAGGTGATTCCATATTTATAGATTGCAATGCTCTCCAATTGTCTTTTTGATGAGCAAAGAAATCTACACTGACCAGATTTATAGACCAGTTGATTCAGGTTATTACCTGCCACTTCCTACAATTTTCTCACTCTCCAGCAACGTTACTTATCTATTATTTGAACCTCATCTCAGACAACAAAGAAGCATCCCAAAATTATAGTTATATAAGTTTTCTGAAATTTTATAATCTTTCTATATTAATTTTTTTTCTTTAAGTTTCATAAGGCTTAGAAAACATAAGGTAAATTCTGCCTTAAAATATTTAAAAAGTGAATTCATTTATTTGAATAATTATTATTTTTAACTATTCAAACTTGTATGCATAATTTGGTTGTTATGTTCACAATGTTTCAACCATTATACACTTCAGGATTCTTTCAATGTCTGTGTTTGTACTTAGTAACTTTTTTTGAACATTAAACCTTTTATTCAATCCATGGAGATAGATTGTTCACATTCTGCTTTCTAAGCTTAGGGGAGATAACTCATATCATGTGTTGTTTGTCCATCCCTTGCACGGAACCAGTACTACCAGGCTCAAGGATTGAACTCACAACTTCCAGGTATTTAACAAACACACAGATGAATTCCATTTGTGAGTCTTTAATCAAGAAAGGACACTCAACAAAAATTCCATCCTATCACCCAAGTACAAATGTTAGGTTTAAGGCTTCAGCACAAAGGTGAATAAGGTAGGTAAGCATTAACAGATATGAAAACATGGAAAGTGGAATGGGAACTATCTACTCCCTCCCATGAATTAAATGTGTTCTAGTTCAAAATTCCAAAAGGTTATCAAGTACAAATCCAGAGATCTAGAATGGCAGAAATGTTGTTGTTATAACAACCAAGGTGAGAACGTTAGCCTAAATAATAAAGCATATAATAATTCTTCATCTCAAAAAGTCCAACGAATTTAATTTTTTTATCCAATTCATTATTGAAAATAAAAAACACAAATCTGTGAAACAATTATTTACCGTCATCCTGTTAGCTTTTCGTGTTCCCTTAGACATTTTACATCTATGTGACCATTTCCTATTGTTAAGTACTTATCAACTGCGACAATAGTTAATTGGAGGAATGAAACATATTTGTGATTCCGATCTATGTAAAGATGTCATTTTTATACAAAGGTCTAATCTGTTCTTCCTAATCAAATGTATGAACTGAACACGTTTAGGTCAATTAGAAAAAAAAAAAAAAAATGTATAACTCATAAAATGTTTGTCTCAAGTGTTGGGTGTGACTGAAAGCCAAAATGTCTGATGGTCTACTCTAGCTAATTAAGTTTGTTCACAGGAAGAACATGAAATATAAAAGCCCATTTTTTTTCCCTGATTGTGAAGTTCTTGTAAAATTCAAGATAACTCCATTGCACATAACTAAAGAGAATATAGAGACTTCTAAATCTTATGTAGTATTTGCATCAATGCAGATTATAAAAACAAGCATATTGATGCCTGTTCATCAGTTTAACAACCTTGGATTTAAAAAAAAAAAAAAAAAAAAAAAAAAGAAAAAAGAGTCAATCAGACCGAATATATTGTTGTCATAACAAGTGTTTTAAATATATACATAGCCATATTTTGTTTTGGTTGAGGCAAGACTGGGATTAATGTCACACAAAGCAAGACGAGTTCTGCCTGACAGCAGATCTCTCATTAGTTTGAGGCAAAGTTTTACAAGGCTGGATGCTCTTCCTGGTGCCCAATTCAGACACTCACTGTAGTCAAAGTACACCAAGTGTTTTTATCAAAACACCATCCATAAGAACCTCATCCTAGGAGATTATATATATATATATATATATATATATATATATATATATATATATATATATAGAGGTACCTTCATGAGATCACTATAGCATGACAAAGAAAGACACCAAACTTGATGAAAACAAAACTTTATCATCTAAATGTTTGTTATTATTAAGAAGAAAGATCAAAGTATTTTGGGGGGTATTTTTTTTACATTTTTTAATCATTCCTAGCACGTCCAAAATTTTCATTAAAAATCTTGTTTTTTTTTTAGTCAGCAATTTATAAAAAAAAAAAAAATGATTTATAAAAAAAATGAAAAAAAAAAAAAAAAAAAAAAATCAATTATAATTTTTTCAAAACTTATTTTAAGAAAATCAGAAATTATGCTTATTGAAAATATTTTGAACCAAGCTTAACTTAGTTTCTGCACTGAAAAGATGTACTTTGAAAATTAAACAAAGCAGGTCATAACATTTCACGTCACTTGACAAGGTGACGAAAGACATTCATGACATTTTGATAGCTTACGTGAGGATAATTCCTTCTACGGAAGAAGAGAAGTGAAGTTACTTAGATTTAAGTGAACAAATTATTTACCTCATTATTTTTAAGGAAAACTTTCAGTGCTCTAATTTTTTTATTTTTTTGGTACTTAGCTTTCACCTTTATGTTTACGATTCTTTATGGAAAATATATTATAAAGAAATTAAAATAAGACTGTTGAGAGTGAGATTAAATTTCATAAGAATGGTATCTAATTAATTTATAGGTAACTTTATGAAATTTTAACATAAAATACAAATTTAAATTTCATAAGATGATACTGATACTTGTGGGTACCCTTCTCAGTTGAAATTGAAAAATCAAATTAACTTCTCCACACGTGTTTCACAAAAATAAATCTATATCTCAAAAGGACATTTACGAAACTGAATGCGGCTTTTAACTAATTTTATAATATTTTAACAACTTAAATGTAAAAATCTATTATAATTAAAGAAGTATAAACAAATAATTGTATTAAAAATTCAGTATTTAAGTTAAATACTAGACAGAAACTCAATCCACGTGACATTTTTTTTTTATAGCACGCATGATACTTCCGGTCTTCTGTAGATTTAATTTACTATTTAAAATGTTAATATTGACACAAATTATATTTTTTTTTTATATACTGTTGTTCGTTAGTTTGTAAGAAGCTTTAGAAATTATAATCTGTAAATATATATCTACTTAATAACAACATTCGTTAAATTTTATAAACTTTTCCCTAATTTTAGAAGAATTAACAACATAATGTAAAAATAATAAAATACTTCAGAAATAACAAATAATTGTTTTAAAAATTCATTTTTCATTGAAATATTTTTTTTTCTTTTTGCTTTCAGACAATATTGTCTATTTTCATTAAAATAAATAAAAGCAATTAAAATCTTTTGAAATTAAATAATATTTTTGTTTTATTGAGTTTTGTATGTTACAATTCAGAGATGATTTTCAAGTAGAAGTGGTCCAACTAAAAAAACCATGATTTGGTTTCCTCAAAGCCTTGTGCTTTTAACTAATCACTAATCTGCCCAAAATTGAAATTATAGAGTTTTCGTACAATTAGTTATTGGCTATGGTTTATACATCTGAAAAAAAAAAAAAAAAAAAAAAAAAAAATATTTTTGCCATGACTTTAAAAAAGAAAAACATTTATAATAATTTCCATCATCTGTGAATAGTTTCTGAAAGTTTTATTAAAATCCGACAATTATTTTTATTTTTGCATATTTTCAAAATTAATGTCTGTCATACAGAAAAAAAAGTTCACTAAAATTTTATGTTATTTTACTAGTTCCAGTGATACAAAGAAAAACAAGGTTTTTTTTTAATCAAAATTTAGAATGTTCTAAAAAGAAGGAAAAATTTTTAAAAATACTTTGATCTTTTCTCTCAGTAATAACAAACATTTAGACGCTAAAATTTTGTTTTCGTCAAGTTTGGCATCTTTTTCATCATGCTATGCTCTGTTTTTAGCAATCTCATGAAGATATATATATATATATATATATATATATAAAATGAAATGGATTAAGTCTGACAATTATTATATATATTTTTTGTTTATACATTATTTTTATAGATACAACTTAACTAAGTAAATGTTCTGTTTTTAATTAAACAGTAATAATTACATTTACCAGCCTGAATTTTCAAGAAATTTCATAGAAAATGTGTTCTCCGACAGGAATCAAACCTGTATTCCTTATACAGAAACAGTCATTTGATCTGATATGCTATACCCTTTAGCCACAGAGAAGCATCTGGTTAGCAAAGTCCAAATTACTGTTTATAAACAATACAATATTTTGATATTTCTCGACTGATATCTGCTCATGAAATTTATCTTAACATAACAATGATAACATAATGAAATAGATTATGCCCAACAATTATTTAACATATTTTCTGTTTATATGTTAAGATATGCTTCATGAGCAGATACAGTAAATGAATAAATAGTTTGGTCAAAAGTGTAGCCAGAGACAGCAGAACATAATTTTATATCTCATGTGCAAAGTAACCCCACTTAAAATTAGTTACAAAATTAGGTCTTAAAAAGTCACATGATATGCGAGCATGCATGCATACGTACGTGTATATACACACACACACACACACACACAGACCATTGGCTCCTATAAGAAGGAGCTCATCTGTTCTTTAACATGTACTGCTTTTCTCCTGTGGGGATGACATGCCACCCTCCTCACCAGCAGAAAAGCTATTAGGGGAGCTGGTTTAGACACCAACCATCTATCCATGTTGTACTGGGTTACATGTTACCAGTAGCAGGCCTAAGCCTGACCCAGAAAATAGATAAAATGCAAATAGAGTGAATGTTTAACGCACCTGGTTGTCAGTTGCAAGTTAGCACCTTGTACTGCTAATGAGCTTTGTGCTCCCCACTGAGCAATTAACTGAGTCTGGCTCATTAGACTTGGCAGATCTGTACTGAAATGAATGTCGCCTACAGAAATAATAAAAATAAAAAAAGTATGGCAAAAATACAAAGCAACCAAATAATAAATTGTATACAAGAAAAATCATACATTTTAAAAATTCAAAGCAATCTAACTTTATCAAAATACCAGGAAAGTAAACTTATTTCAGCAAAATGTTTCCTACACTTCTCCAGAAAGAGTTTCTGGGTGATTTGATAGCTTATAGCCAAAGGTTATATCAAGATGAAAAGTAACAATTAGCTGTTAACAATTTATCAGATTTAAAATATGTCATAAAATGTGACAATGAAATATTAAAAGAATAAAATTTATTTCTAAAAGTAATTTAAAATCTTATCTATAAAACTTATTTACCAATTTATTTATGTATTTCTCTGTAATAAAAGGGGGGGCGGGCAAAACTAATTGAAATCTTATTCTTTTAAGGTTTTTTTCTTCTTATCACCTCACTCCAAGCAAGGCAGTAAAACCACTAAGACACAAGAGGTTACTGAGTGTGAAAGAATATGAGAAACAAATTAAAATTATTAAAGAGAGAACAATAAAAGAACAGAAATTAAGACAGAAATAATGATTGACATTGCAGTTAAATTTTTGAAGATCAAAGTTGAATGGAAACCAAAAGAACAGAAGAGAATTCCACAAGCAAGAAGTGCAAGAAACTGTTAACATAGAATTTATGGCTACATCAAGGAATTTCAGCTATAAAATAATGAAACCTAGCTGCCAATCTAGTACTGCACTTAAGATACCAAAGAGGAAAGCTCATCAGAACAATTTCTATGAAAATATTTATATAAAAAGGCACAGGGAAACTATGTTATAGTGGTGGGAAAGTCACTGAAGTAGAGATGCCAGGTCAGGACCAATATTCATTGCAGATTTTTGGTTGGGTATTTTATCAAGATTCTCTAAATGCATAGAAGTACCAAACCAGATGTCAATACAATATTTAATTCATGGATGAATGTAAGACTTATAAAAAGTGTAAAATAGATTCTGGTGAGAAACATTTTCTAGCACAACACAATGCCTAGGAGAAGACCTATAGCCATTGATTCAATAGAATCTTTCCACGTCATGTCAGCAGAAAACATCAGCCAGAGAAAGCATAATGTGTCATTCTCCTAGAAATGAGCATCAGCCATGCTGATGCAAGGCAAAAAAAAAAAGGTTCTCTTAAGATGATTAAAGAATTTCATTTTGAAGGTGTTAAAATTGACAAGCCACTCCTTGCCCCAGTTAACAAAAGACTGCAGGTCATTTTTGAGTTGCCAATTTGACCTTATCAAACCAATCAGGCTTAACATTGAGACAAGAGTAAATAGTTGCATTATCAGCATAGATACCTAGTTGAAAACTGATGACATCAGAAGGTTGTTGATGAAAATTAGGAACAATGCAAGTCCAAGGACACCTGCATTATTGCAAAAAGATAAGATTGAATTAGATCAAAACTTCATCTCCAGAAAAACCATAACTTTTCAACTTGTAAAGAAGACCAGTATGCCAAACACCTCTTTTAACAATAACTTAAAGCATCAGCAGTTGACCGAGAGAAGTGAAAGCCATATTGCTTGCCTGAAAGAAAAGCCTGTTAGGTGTTAAAACAATTCAGAGTTGATTAGAACCAGAGTTCTTAGAGAACAGAATTTCCAACAAAGAGGAAAGCAAGAACCAGCAAGGCATTTATTGTACAGTTTAGAAAAGACAGAAGCACTATTCTTAAGCTATTGCAGGAATACTATGAAGTTCACATGCTTTGTGGGGATCCAGTTTAAAGATGATAGCAGAAACCATGTACAGAGTTAGATTATATATATATATATATATATATATAACACAGTAGAGACTCGATTCTAAGTGGAAAGTCAATCAAAGACACTCAAGATGAGTTTATAGAATCCTAATCATGAAATCCTCATTTATTTTTATTTAAAAAATTAAATGAGATATTCAACTTCTTTAGTAGTTTCCTAGAATATTGTTGTATTTGCTAAACATTAAAATTCAAAAAAATGGTTTTCACCAGTTTCTTAGAATGAACAACGATGTAAGTTACTTCCCTTGGAACTGTTTCGTTTCAAATTGCATTATGAAACTCAAATCTAACAATATCACAAATTAAAAAAAAAACAAAAAAACAAAAAAACAAAAAACCTTTGAATTAAGTTCTAACAAATCTTGCATCACAGATCCAAGTAAATGTATTTATTAGAAATTTAATATTGAACAATTTTTTTTCTTAAGCTTCAGGACAAACGCACTGATATAACGTTTAAAAATAGAAAGAAAAAAATTAGTTAAATTTTGTGTAGTATTGCATTTAGTATCAAATCATTGACTTTTCATCATTTCTTGTATTTAAGATAAAATTTTAAAACTATTACAATTTAGTAACTAATAGCTAAACATTTATAAATATTAATATGAAGGAAAATGACTTTTCAGTTTCATAATTTAATCTAAAAGACAAACAAACAGTAAGAAAGTGCAAATAGATTTGCTCCAATGCACAAAGCATTTCCAACAATCAGATTTCTACAAGTAAAAATTTCAGTTTATTTTCCAGCAGTTCTTATGAATATACCAATAAAACTTTCTCTACAAACAAATTTTTTTTTTTAGATGGAAAACATTTCAAATAAAGAAAAAGAAATAAAAGACAAATAAATACACTTTTCATACTTACTGGTAAGCTGGGACGGATTAGCCACACTATTGCCGGGTGTGGCCACCGATACTACGGGTGTGTCTAGAGCACTCATGCTTCCTCTTACAGAACTCTGGAATATAAATTACTTGTGTAATTTTGCAAGAATAATAAACAAGGACAGGAAATCTGGTAGGAAAGAATTAACAAATTTATTTCTGGAAAAAAGAAAAAAAAAGTACAGAAAACATTTGAGAACGATTTCTCTTTGAATTTTAGCTTACCATTTCATGAGTCTTGGGTGGAATCTGAATTCTTAACTCTGGTCGTTTGCCTTGAACTAAGTGTCCAGTACTGGTGGTGGTCAAGTCAGAAACATCTTTATCAGGGTCTAAAGTTGTGACAAGTGTTGGAACTGGCTGTGTGTGGGTTACAGGTGAACTGCTCTCTTCACGATGATGTTGAGGGATCTGCAAAGTTCGAGGAACAACTGCAGGGGGACTTGAGGAATCCCCACCACTTTTGGAACCTAAAAATAATAGAAACTCTTTTTGTAACACCAATGCAATTTTATAATAGATAAGGAAAAAAAAAAAAAATATATATATATATATATATATATACACAACCACTCCTCACTTAATGATTTACCTATTAACGACCACCCAGACCAACTATGAAACTTCATAAATTAAAAAATAGAAAATCCAATCAGTCAGTATTGTATGTTGTACAAAAACTTTGATCATAATTAGTTTCTCTTTATTTGAAAAAAGTAAAAAACAAAAACAAATAACTTGTACTGTACTATTGATGGTATGCAAAGTGTAGTAATGTACAGAATATAAAGTAGATATTCAATTTTTAAAAAAGATTTTATTAAATTTATTGTTCAGTACACTATTGTACTGTATAAACATTTAGAAATAAATTAGAAATGTTACAGATGGTGCAAAAGAGACATGAAAGCTATCTAAAGCAAGTTGACACAAATCCAATAGACGCATAGTATACCTATTATAACAGTCAGGTAAGCCATCTCTTAGTGACTAGATCATTTGAGCAGAACCTGGTCATTAAGTGAGGAATGGCTGTAATACATAAAATAACTGTGTTTTATATTTCTTAACTAGAACCCATAGATATTTCAAATAAATTTTAAATATCACCAAGGACTTGTATTTAACCATAAATTTAATAAAGTTATATAATTACAAGAACTATCCAATAATTGCAAACATAATAGTAAAACAAGTGATAGTGTTATAGAGAAACTTGATACCTGAAGTGGAAGGCACTGGACTGTAGGTGGAAGGTACAGCAGCTGCTGTCGATTGGCCATTCTGACTGGAGGAAAGCAAGAGGACTGCATTATGGCTAGCACTGCTACCAGACACTGTTGAAGCTGTTTGGGTGCTGGCTGAACCAGAATTATGCATGGAGAAATTAGTGATTGGCACTGACACTTGTTGATATGGGCTGAGAGTGGTTGAAGTTGGTTGCTATAAAACACAAAAGGTAAAGAAGGAGATTACCACCTGATATTTTCCTACTGGAAATGATGAAATTATTTAATATTATTGGGCAAAGGAAAAGTGAAACTTATAAGTATGTGGCATATTTGTCCCTGTGAGTAACAATACCTAAATAAAATCTTTTTTTTAATTGCTCATAAAAATGTGGCATACAAAAATGAATGAAGAAAAACCATTTAGAAACTAGTGACCCTGAATGCCAAATTAACAACTATTATCATTCAGTCTTCCCAGATTAAAGATTAAACAGTACAAAGTTAAGCATCAGGACAAGAAAACTGATATGCTAATAGGTAGGAGGTATGGGGGAAAAAAAAAAAAAAAAAAAAAACTTCATTTCAATATATCTCAAAAGTTAAGATGGACTTTGAAAAAAAAAAAAAAAAAACTTGATTCAAGAATTAAAAAATTCGAAATTATACATTAAATATCAAAATGTACAAAGCAATATCTGAAATCTGAAAGCAATAAAGTGAATGTTATTTTTATTGTTACATGGCACATAATATGCCAAATGACTTTAGAAATAGAAATGGTACTGTTAAGACAATAGAATTTGTTTTCAAGGACTGTTCTGTGTATATACATGCAAATGTTTTTTTTAATTCCAGTGTTCACATTTGATAGAAGTAATTTTAATTTCAAGCCACTCAAAGTGCTATCATAAACAGTCAAACTGAAATTTTTGTGCACAAAAAAAAAAAAAAAAAAAAAAAAAAAAAAAGACAAACAAAAACACACACTTCAATATGGATAGTCTCCAATGAAGAAAATCACCTTATTTAATGTTGGCTGCTTCTCTTTTATTACAACAGCCTCAAGAATTTGGAGTCCTTCCTTGTATAAAATTTACTAAAATTTGTCTTATGTTAGTACTATTTTGCATATTTCTTGGGTGTGTGTGTGTGTGTGTGTGTGAAAAGCACATATATTAAAATACACAAAACAATCCTTGCAAACAAATGTAGCAACATATGAAAATACTCAGCAAGAAAATAAGATAAAATTAGAAAATCTACTGATAACAAAAAGACAGAACTTGTCCATATTATTTAACCAAGCATGTTTGAGAGAATTAATAGTGCCAAAATACACCTTATATATATGTATATACACTAGTGTATGTTGCTTTGTGATATGTTTTTAGTTCATACTAAGGGGAAGATATAGCTCTCATATTAGAGAAAATACCAAAATATATCCAAACAAAATGATACAAAAATATTACCTTTGCAAACTTAAGGCAGGAGTTTTTTTTTGTTTTTTTTTTTTTTGTTTTTTTACATCAGGTGAGTAATACTTTTATAAAATAATTTTAACTCTTTATGGCTGGAAGTGTCCAGATGTACCTACAGTACAGGAGGGGGGTTCTTGAATGTGGCCACTATTGCATAGAACTGTATTTCCATCTACAGTTAACACCCATCACATGATCAACTAGAAGCACCAAAGTGTACAACTTTTTGAAAATCTACAAAATCATATCTCATTACAAAGTGGGGGTTAAGCTTATTGCAATAATTTAAATAAAGAGAAATTCTTCTTTGGAGTTTGATTTTAATTGCAAAAAATAAATAAATCTTACTTTTGCAAAATTAACATAAAAATTTTTATCATTGCATCTTGTTAATTTCAAAGGAATGAGTAAAACCTAAATGTAGGCATTTTAAAATTTAATAAATAAATTTTGGCAAATTATCATTGCTATTGATAGTTTAAACAGTATTATTATTATCAATAACATCAGTTTTGTGCCATGTGTTATACACACTTAGGTGATCATGTATCTTTCATACATGACTGACAAGGCAAATTTTTTTCCTGCAGTAGGTTGCCATTCCTTTCTGTGGTAGACCAGTTGCCATCCAAGGCTATAGAATACAGCCTGTCCTGCTATTTACCCATAACTGGGAGGGAGTAGAAAAGGATTCATATCTTTTCCAAGGGTATTAGCACGTAAATGAATGTAATGGATTCAAATGGAATTCAAACTTGGCTCTCCAATTCCTCAATCTGAGCCGCTATCCATTACTCCACTGTGTCTCCTGTAACATATTTATTGCGAATACCATGCCTCACTAAGATACTGTAATATCATAACATACTGTGCCTCAATAACATACTTATTGCAAATATAAAAATGTGAAATTTGTATTATTCAATTTTGTTTTAATAAAAATCTGTCAAAACTTAGCATTCATTTAAATATTTTGTCCAAATCAATGGAAACATTAAAAGTTATAATGATATAAGCTTAGCCAAACATCAACTCTAATTGCAAACATTATATTCCCTCAATTAAACCAATAATTTGGTCATATGACAGGCAACACTTTAGTACATCATTATGATTTACTGAAAAGCCTCATTCAAAGAAAAAGAGTCAAGGCTGGGTAAGGTGAGTCTTTTCATAAATTATGTATGCAATATATGAGGATGACATCAACCGGAAGATGATACAATCAACATTAAAATATTATGCTAAAGAAAGAAAATCATGGAACACATCACATTTTTGTTGTATATTGTAACATTGTAAACCACAATACCAGAGATGACAAATTTGAAACAATAGACTGTTATAACAATAACAAAAATGTTAATACTTGCAGGTTTAGTTTAGTTTAGTGGTTTGAACAGACAGCTGAGAGATTTGAGGTCTTCAGTGCTGAATCTATCAGAAATACTCGTCAAAGAGAAAAGAAACTCCCAATTTGCAAAAAGATAACACAGTGCCCCCCCAAGTACTAGTAAAATTCACAGAACCCAAAAGTTAAGATCAGCAAAACTAATAATAACAAATAATAATTATGTCAATAAATGAGCAAAAGAAAAGAGTTAGCAAGATATTAAAAGAAAGAATAAAATTAAATTTACCGGAGCTTGCATGACACGGGCATATTCAGCATCAATACGTTTATAGTTTTCCACTGTGTGTGGCGTCAACACATATTCATCATCTGCTTCAGGACTGTCATTACCTTTATCCTTTTTATTCAAAAGCTGAAAAAAAGAAAGAAAGATAATAATTTCAAAAATATCCTCCGTAAAAAAGAAAAACATACTACCTTTGTTCCATAATATGATTTGATTGATTCCTTTTTCTATGGCTTATCAACTCTGTGCAGGTTTTTTAAAGCCAGAAAATATTTCTTTCAGATTGTAGGAATTTTTTTTTTTTTTTTTAGTGGGGGGAGATAATGATTTTGTGATACAAGTCTTATTAATTAATCCATAGCTGGTGGGAGAAGTTGATTCATACCTTGGAAAGGTATGGAAGGGTATTTGCACATAAGTGAATATCACAAACCCAACTGGAATTGGAACACTGCTCTCCTATTAATAATTCAGGTCAAATGGTCACCCATCTATGTATTGACCAGGCTCAATATTGCTTAACTTTGGTGATTGTATGGGGAATTGGTGTTTCAATATAATATGGTCATATACCTTTTGTTCCATAATAGTAATTACATTTGCATACACATTTCATATTAAATGTAACAATTATTTACAGAAGGGAGGACCTTTGAAATAAAATCTGATTTTTTTTCAAAGTAATTGTTTTGTTTACAATTGTTGTAAGTCAGTCACAGTTTATTTTCATAATGCAATACCAAAAACAAACCCTAACCCTACACCTAAAAAAGATAAAATAATTATTTGTGAACAAAGTTGCTCTAAAGTGTCACTACAAATTAATGGTTTAGTATTTTATCGCAGTTATACCTTACTATGAAATCAATTTGTGCTACTACTTTCACTTTTATAATGAGTACAACTGCATACTTTTAAAAGTTGTGATGTCGATGTGAAATAAATTACTGGAGTCTTGTTTCTAATATCAGTTCAGTTTGTAATAAAGTTTTTGAGCTAACATTCATAAGTGTAATAAAACACCTAAAATTCACTTATTCAGAAATGTAAAGCTTTTTCCAGGTTTTTAGAACTGTAAAGAGTAAAAGAGATTAAAATCAAATTTAAAATTCTTTGTATTTGAATTTATTTTTGTTTGAAACAATATGAATTTTCAATTTAATACAAGTTAAATTATACAAAACAAGTCAGTTATGCAAATATTTAATAATTATTTCATTTTTTTCAAAGTAGAAAACTAGACAAATAATCAAAACGGAAACATCCTCAATAAAAACATGGCCTTAAATTTCAAAACATTCATTTTTACAAGAATAAAACAAATGTTTGGTCAACTGAAATTCAAGCACTATTTCAACTGATTTCCTAAATTTTCAAAATCCATTTTGCTTACAAAAATATACAATTACACAAGATCTCCATTAAAACTCTGAGACACTTTCAAATAAATTACTCTTTATACAATATATATGTAATCAACAAAAGACAAACTGCACTAATACTAATTCAACTCTAATTAGGATTTCTGGATCACTGATTTGCAAACATACCACTTACTAATAGATGAAAATCAATGAAAGCCTTAATGACAGTCATGATCATACAATTTATACATTGAAAATATAAAATTGCTACAAAATCATTTTATCAATATTTTGTGCATAACTTGATCAAAATTCATAATATAAAAAGATCAAGATGTTAATTGAAGCATAAGTAAAATATTAAATGCATCTAGGTCATCTGATATTTCTCAAAATACATTTAGTATGTTTTTGTTTTTTTAAATTCCGAAATTCCTCTTTATTCCCTGTATCGATGACTTTACTAGTTTAAGTTAGTCTTTAGAATATCCTAACAATATCATTAAAACACAAAAATGACAGTTATAGTTTAAATAAATGACATGAACCATTTGAAAAACCAAAAACATCTCAACTTTATAATACTAATGTTCTAACTATTCACAGTTCACCTTCAATTTTTTGATAATTTGAACTGTAAAGCTTAAAAAAGTATCTAAGACTGTTGATGTAATTCTTGCAGAGAAATTTTTTAAAAGTTAATTTTCTTCAATTAGTCATAGCCACTGCAACCAAGAATGTTTTCCACTGGCTCAAGAATTGTCTTTTTGGGTCAGGCCTATAGCCAGGAAAAAAAAATAAATAAATAAAGTATCATCTTACCATCACAATAGTGAGGTAATGAGAAAAGAAAAATGTTTAATTTCACGCGAGCACCTTCCATTAAAAGTTTGAATTGAGAAAAGCAAAAACAAATGATCTTAAACACACTTTTTGCAAAGTTTAAGAGAAAAAAAAATGATGAAAGCTATTAAAAATAAAACAAAATGGAAATATCAAGTGAAATTCTTTTAGACCAAAAAATGAAAGTTACAAATTTAACATGGATTCATAAAAATATAAAGAATCATAGAAAGATTAGCTTTCAAATATGCTTCTATTATGAACAGGCTAAGCACAAGGCAAATTAAGGAGTCATACAAAATATCACTTTGTTAAAACTGAAATTGTGTGTGTGTGTGTGTGTGTGTGTGTGTGTGTGTGTGTGTGTGTGTGTGTGTGTGTGTGTGTGCTAAAAAGTTCTCATCCCTTTTGCCTATTTCTCCAAATCAGTATTTCAATGACCAAATATCACTTTTTTCTCTTGAAGGGTTAAAGAAACTGGAAACATGATGTGACAAGTCTGTAGAATAAATATCAGAATAGCATAGTATGTTGAACTGTGGAATATCAGAATGGCTCTAGGTCATTCTTGGTCAGGCTAACTTTTCAACAACACTCGTCATGTATTTGTGTGCCTATAAATATAAAATAGCCTCTTTTGAAACTAGCAACAATCATTTTGAAATATTTCAATAACCATATGCCCATCTATGATTAACTTGCCAAAAAAAGGGGAGAGGATCAAACTCTGCATGCATGAACAGACTCTCCCATGAGGTGACTCTGTAGGCAATTAGACACTACTGAGTGAATATGTATACTGTATGACCATTGCATTGAACATGACAATACACCTGACAATTCATGTCTCATACAGGGTTTTTTTGCAAAACAATACATCATTTCTTAAAATATAAGAAAATTAAAAAGAATATAAATATTACATTCTGATTTTATAGTTTTAAATGAGCTTAAAATATCAATATTTTTAAAAATACAAAAAGAAATATAACAAAGTGACTAAGTTGTATTATTATGAACATAAACAAAATATGTCCCATCTTAATATTTCCAATTTTCATGTAATAGGGGGTGACATAACATATGCTATTTGCTAGCCTATCCCCAGATCAGTGGTTCAAATCACAAGAATTACCTCAATCTTAGAGGCCAAGTTGATTTGTAATCATAAAGTGTAATATATGTACAAGCAAGCTGACTAATATTTGACCAGTCTTTGTTAAAGGTATTCTTAGTTTTATCTGCACCTCCTCACATAGAATTAGCCTAGACACTGACAAAAAGTGATAGGAAAAAAATTTCCAAGAAATAAAATGTTGTTAATTGTACAAAACACAGGATTAGGGAAGCTATCACAAACTATATACATATGTATATCCATAGATAAAAATTTGTATCACAAACACCAAATAAATATCAGCAAAAGAAAAGTTAACAATGGTACATTGTTAACCTTTGAGATGATACTTCAGTAGTTAGAGAAAGTGTGCTTTAAGTATTTTCAGCATATTTCAGAAGATAAACTCTCGGATGCTAACATCTCACTTCTTGATCAGCTGAATCCATTAGGCACAAGTGTGATAAGTATCAACAATAGGACAGGTTATTTTTCAGGTTGCAAGTGGCAGTTATCTTTTGTGCAATATATTCACAACAGATGTAAAACAAATGGAAGAACAGAAAAAGAATTGCTACATTAAAACAGCTTCTATTATTACTATTAACATTTTTAGGCTAATTTGTCAAATACATATTTAGAAAAGTAATTAAATGTGAAAAACATAAAATAATTTTTTTTTCAACTTTACATATAAAGTCAAAATGCAGTTATCTCATGGCAATAACCAATACAAATTTGAACTTCAGTACACATCACTTGTTTACTGTGTTTTAAAATATGCAATCAAAATACAAAATATAAAAACCGTCTAAAGTAGTAATTGATTTTTTTGTTTATTAATTTAACAGATTTTATCACTATTTTTAGCAGATACTCATATTTGAGTAGCTGTTCTTTTTATTTATTAAACAGTATATTTATAAACAGAGCGTCTACTCAAATATGGGTATTCACTAAAAATAACATTTAATGCAATAAAATTTTGAGAATCTGGGAAGGATTTGCGCTTATAAAGCACTGTTCAGCTCTGTTTAATTAGCAAGACCTTTTGTGACCAATTCAGTCTAAAGCACATCAGGTCTAACAATAGTTTCTCCTACCAGAAGGCGCATCTTTTTCTTTAATATTTCTCAAATATTCAGGCTGGTAGACGAAAATAAATATACTATTTAATAAATAAACAAAGCATCCACTAAAAATAAAGATTTAAAGTGATAATTATATTTATTCAAATATAAATAAAATATATCTGTAAAAGATAGTATGAATAAATAAGAAAAAGAAACCTTTTCTTTACCAACCGGTTTTGTCCCCTATCTTGATAAAGTTTCTCAAGAGATGAAAAGAAAAAGTTCCTTTTGCCTTTATTCATATATATTAACATGTTCACAAGACTTAATAAGCAGTGGTCTTTAGATTCAATGTATTTTAAAAGAAAATTTATTTTAGAGGGAGACAAAAATATCACAACAGTATTATCATGTAAGACACAACTGAAGATTATTCAACTGGTATTGTTCACAATATTGGGATTGAAAGGGTTACCCACAATTTGTATAATTGCAACGTTCAACATACATAAACAGTTTAACTATTTTTTCTTTAAACCTAACATAAAAACTTTAATAAGATGTGCTATTTTAATTAATGTCCTCATTTTTGTTATGTTTCAACTGTTCAACTCTGCAGCCTTCTTGTCTGGATAACCTTCAGGAAATTTCAAACTGAACCATACACTGTTCTTGTTCCACTGTCTTGTTATTTAGTTCTGCTCACATTGTTTCTACTGTATCTAAGTATGCACTACTCTGCCTAGGGATTGAACTCACAATTATTATTTCACTAAATCCATGAACCAACACTTTAATCCATATATTAAATAAAAGGCTCAGCATGAAATTCCCTAAGGTTACCCAGATAAACAGACAACTAAAGATGGCCAAAGAGTCAAGATGCGATAATAAAAGATGAGTATATTAATGTAAATAACTTCTCATCCTCAAACTTCAGACAGAAATTATGAAATGTTATGGTATTAAAAAAAAAAAAAAAAAAAAAAAAATTTCTCATACCAGCAACAATTCAAATCAATCTAGCAATTTCTTCCTCTTCATATAATGAAGTGAACTTACTTTTCTAGTATCCTTTCATAAAATGGAGGAAAAATTAAAACATTTAAATTTTATTAATTTAAACGACTTTAAACACATTTTTAAAAATACAAAAGTCATGAGTGGCTCATTATTACAAACATTAACAATAACAGTATGTTTTGTTAATTTTGTAAACATTTTGAATGTAATACAATTGCATATTAAATTGTATCCAATGTAATAAACCATTACACCAAATTTGTAAAGAAAAAAATATTGTCATAAAATCAAGAAAAGTACATTATCAAGCATAATTCTTTCATTGCATCATCATCAAAACATATTCAGCAGGCTAATTGTAGATATCCAGTTTCAAATTGAAGATTTCATCTTTAAAATTATTCAGTGAAATAAATATCACAAATAGAATGTCTTCAATTTACAAATACAAGTAGTTCAAAGATGAAGTTCAAAAGGTATGTATATTATTTTTATGATAGAATTATAGTTTATGAGTAAATATAAATTACTGAATCCATAAAAAAAAAAAAAAAAAAAAAAAAAAATTGATAGTCTAAACATTTACAAAAGTGTAAATAAGTACATAATCCACCCCGATTAGCTGAATTGTTCATAGTATAATATTCAGTCTGTGTGATTAATAGAGAAGTGTTGGTGTAAAGTACATTGAAAATGGAAGAGATTATGTAGTAAAATAAATCCATTTTTTTTTTTTTAAGTAGGTTTACATGAAACATTCTAAAGAGCTTCATTCTGAAATAATATACAAAAACTCACAACATTCTTTCATGTATTTTTTTGACAGCTTAAGAGTTTTACTGAATCTATGACAGTTTTAAAGAAATGTCGAGCTCCTACAGACATCGGATTGTCACTAAGCCCATTACCTAATAAGGGAATAAAACATTTTAAGTATAATCTCTTTTCATAACTAAAAATTCTTCTCTAGGAATCACCAAGATACAGTAAAAATTTCAGATCAAAATTCAACTAATAACTGTGACATTGAGCTAAACTTTTCCGACAAATCAACATCTATATGCATCACACAGTGAGAAGCACCATCATTTCTCTTTGCAATATTTTAGATTCCTTCTTTCATCATTTCTTACAATCTTTCAAACAAGAGAAAATTAATTAAGTGTCCCTTATAAGAAAATAGGTTAGGTTATATATTTGAGTTGGAAATTTTTTCTATGTTCAACACTTTTTAAATGTTTAGAGACTTTTCTTTTTTTTTTTTTAATAATGTCTCAAACATCTGACAAAAGAACATACCAAATATTATCCTCTTTAATATTTAACCCAAGAACAGTATACCTCAGATCTTGAAATAAGATACTGGAAAAAATACTTCTTTTAGTTCATTAATAATATGCAAGCATTTCAATTCTATTAGCAGATAAAGTGTAGTAATCTCTGAATTTCTAGGATGAGGAGTTATTTACAGTCAAACTAATGTCCTAATCTTTGTTCTTATGTTTCAATTGTGCCCTTTGGCTTTCTTTAGGTGGCTACTGATCTAGGTAACCTTCAGAGAATTCAAAATGAACCCATTACTTAATCTACAGAAGTAGCTTGTGTTGGTTCTGTTGTCCATGTCAAAGAATATCTTGTCTATTTTTTTTTTTGTTAGTATCACTCAGTTATTCCTCATCGTTTCCACCGAGTCTAAGCTTCTACTGCCTAACCCAGGGACTGAACTCACAAATGAAAACTTTAATCCACTAGGCTTTTGTCCAGTGTAACAATTCTGAACTAAGAACTTGAAGCCTAATATTTGTATTGCCTGCCTGCCTGCTGCTACTACCAGAGCTGCTACTGTTATGCTTGATCTCCTTCACCACTGCTTTTTAAGTTACTGCTGCTGAAGGCAACCCTGATTAACAAATACTTGAAGAAGGCTAGAAGGCTCAATGACCAAAATGTTTAATATTTAAGAGAAGTGCACAGCCAGGCCAGGAGTAATGTTCAGGGCTTAGAAAAAGAAAGGAAGATAAATATACAGTCCTTAACTTGCCAATGAGAAAATAGTTTTGTCCCACTACTATATTATTCTAGGTTCACAATGTTCAGTGCAATATTAGATTTGCAATTAGGTCTCACACCATATTACTGTTAAAATTTCTAAATGTAACCATTAAGTTCTATGCTAACAGTTTTTTTCTCTTGCACATCTCGCTTGTGAAACTCTTGGCTTTTTGCTTTTCCATCAATTATGATCTTCAAAAATTTAAATACAACATCAATCACAATCTTTTATCTCCTTGAATTCTGTTCTTTATCTTAAATATTTTAAAATTTTTATTTAATAGCATTGTGGATTGAGATTCTACATGAGAAATAAATATTAGATGCATCCAAGAAACAGGAACTATTTTATATAAAATATTAAAAACTCTGTACATGATAATCAACCCATGAATCAAAAAAATAATAAAAAAATTTAAATAAAGTAAATAATTATCCTCATTCCTTAATAACATGCTCTCAATATTTTCCACTCTCAGTAACCTCTTGTGTCTTAGTGGCATTATTGCCTAACTTGGTATGGAATGATAAAAAAAAATTCTTCAAAGATTATAAAAAATAAAAATAAATCCCACCAGCAAATTCAGTATTTCAGTAATAATTATTTTATTAATAATCATAATCTTTTTGTAGGGTGAATGTATAATTTCTTTTCTCCGAGCTCAGAAAAAAAAAGAAAAGAAAGCTGTACTTACCTCTACAATATCCTTATTAGTCTGGCTAACCACAGTGTCATTATACTCAGTGTATTTGAGCAACACTTTGTCCATGTCTGAACTGGCATATTGATACAGCTTATTGCCACTGGTGAAGATTATTAATGCTATTTCACAATCACACAGCACTGAAAGTTCATAGGCTTTCTTCATCAAGCCAAATTTCCGTTTTGTGAATGTCACCTGAAGTAAAAGATAATCAAGAAATATTTTTAAATTTTTATTTAATAGCATTGTGGATTGAGATTCTACATGAGAAATAAATATATTATTAAATAAAGTAAATAATAAACAAATGAACAAACTACGAATGCACATATAAACACAAGTAAATGTAAGAATAAGAATCAATAATAAATAAGGAGTAAAGAGTTAAACACTATAAAATAGCTAGTCAAGAAACTTCTCCGAGCATCATCCAGAATGGACACTATGATGTTGGACTAGATCTTGACACACTTGGGCGGTTATGACTGATAACAAAGAGCCGGATGAGTCAGTTGCCGCAGCAGCTCAACAGACAAAAACTGACGTTACCGCATGGACGTGCGGCATTGTTTGCTTTAAGTGTTTTGGTCCCAACCACCTGGCAAAGGACTGCAGGCAAGGCTACTCAGAGAGGATGGCTACCCGGACGCAAAGATCCTGCCATAAGATACAGTGTTTTTAGCGCAACAAGGTCGGGCACATCTCCTGAGAGTGCCAGGGAAATGGATCCGGGGAACAGACATCAGCACCTGTCTTCTCCCCAAGCGACTAAAGAACATAGCGCTACCTATCATAGAGGTGGCCACGGACGGAAAGAAGTGCATGGCTCTGGTTGATTCTGGTTGCTCACAGACAATGGTGAGCAAATGCGCATGTCGCAATTGTAAAACAAGGAAGACAGATGTCTTAACTGTCGACAGTAAGGTACTAAAATGCCGCGGACAGGGCAGTATTACGTTGAACATTAGTGATGCTCAACCCGTTTGTATTGATGCCCTAATTCTGGATGGACCACTACTTGGGTTTGATCTTCTTCTCGGGATTGACGCAATCAGAGAATTAGGAGGGATGCACATCAACCCTGCAGAAGAAGCTCACTTTCTTGATGAAAGTAAGCTCCAATGTGCTGCTATTTCCATCACTGAACACAACTTTAGTGTAGAGTTCGGCCGTCATAACAAAATATGAATAGCCTCATGGAAGTGGAAAAAATAAACAACCGCCTATAACCCTAAAGAATAGAGTGGCAGAATATTCAGTACCTGACTATGCACAGGACAAATATGAGATGAAGCTTCAGTTGTGGCTGGATAATGGATGGTTGCGACCATACTCCAAAGACGAACTTGGTCCATCTAAGTGTCTAATCCCATTAATAGCAGTGATACAAGAGAGCGAGCAGAACGTCCGTCCAGTACTGGATTACCGCAAGTTGAATGGTTTTGTGGAACCATATACTGCTAACTCAGAGGTTTGTGCACACAAGTTGCAAGAATGGTGACGATTGGGGGGCCAATGTATCTTTTTTGGACTTACAAAGGCATATCTGCAGATACATGTTGAGAAGGCGCTGTGGCCCTATCAGACTGTCATATTGTAGGGTCAAAGATACACCCAACTGGGTTTCAGTTTAAATGTGGCACCTTTCATCATGAAAGCCATAATTGATGCAGTATTGTCTCAAGATGAAGCCATTGCAAATGCCACAATGGCATATATTGATGACATTTATGTCATCGAAAGTGATTCCTGCCGCACATGTGAGAGAGCTCCTGTCCAAGTACGGACTAGTATACAAGGAGCCAAAGATTAAAAGATAGAACTAAGGTGTTGGGCTTGCAGGTCTGGAGTGATAATGGCACTCTGCAATGGAGGCGAGGTGGAGAGATCCCCCGATATCCCTATGAGGATAACTTGCCGGCACGTGTTCTCCTTATGTGGAAAACTTGTGGGCCACTTTCCCATTTGCGACTGGCTACGAGTTGCGTTTGCGAAATGACAAGCAAGCATCCTAACCACAGGATGGGATGATGAAGTTGAGGATGCCTCTCTTAATTGCATGCTAGCTGATATAATAGCCAGAATACATGAGACCGATCCAGTAGGAGGAGACTGTATGAGTGGCCACAAAATGAACATGTAAGTAGATGCGAGTTCCGTAGCCACAGGTGTGGTATTAGAGGTAAATGGAAACGTCACTGAGGATGCCTCGTGGCTGTGCCTGGCTGGAGATGCTAAGCACATCAATTTGGCTGAGCTAGATGCAACGATAAAGGGTGTCAATTCGGCTCTTCAATGGCAGGTGTCGACAGTACATCTTTTGACTGATTCAGCATGTGTTCATCAGTGGATTTCGAACACCTTAACTGGCAAGGCTCGAATAAATACGAAGGTGTCTGGGGAAATGCTAATGTGGAGAAGGCTGAACACACTTCGCGAGCTTGTAGCTGAATATGGCTTGATGGTGGACATAACACTGGTCAAATCCAACATGAATCTGGCAGACCGGCTTACCAGGGTGCCAAAGAGGTGGTTAAACCTACACAAGGAGGGAACGGAGCCACCAGTGCAGTCAGTATGCGCCACTACAAAGACCAAGTTGGACGCACATCAAGTGGCTAATATCCACCAGAAAACCAGACACCCGGGCATAAAAAGGACCCTGTAATTTGTTAGGTTGATAGGCCCTTCAGTATAATCAGAAGTTGTAAAAGCAGTTATCAAGGAATGTGAGGCTTGCCAAACCATTGATCCAGCTCTGGTGCATTAGCGAAAAGGAAAACTGAACATGAGGGACAACTGGAATAGGTTAGCAATGAACATCACCCACCATGGTGGTAAGCACTTTCTGACAATCATAGATTGCGGACCCTCTCAGTTCGTGATAAGGCAACCACTACAACAAGATTCTACTAGTGTAGTTCGAGTCAATTTTTTTATGAATAGGGTCCGCCACTCAAGATATTGATCAACAATGACACAGCATTCACATGCAAACATTTCAAGAATTTTTTTAAGTAAATGAGATGTACATTTGCAGTTTCGATGTGGCTATGCACCTGCTGGGAATGGTATAGTAGAAAGAAGTCACCAAAGCATCAAAACGTTTGCAGCTAGAAAGCAGTGCTCTATACAGGAAACAGTCTACTGGTATAACGTTACATCTAAAAATAATCACTTGACTACTACTGCACCAGCTGATGCACTTTATACATACTATACTCGTATATGGGGCATTGTGACTATGTCCCCCATTGAACCTCAGAATACTCAAGAGCATATGAAGTGGGAGACATCATTTGGGTGAAAACTCCCCACAAGAGATGCACGACAAAATTTAGAATGGGTGATGTGACTCAGGTTAATAGTCCACAGTCAATGCATGTCGATGCAGTTCTGCATCACGTGAAGGACTTACGCCCCTACATGGGACCAGTCCCGATGGCTATACAGGGCAGCAATTCTGAAGAGAGTGAGCAGTTAGTAAATATGAGATCCACCCCATTAGGAGAAACTGATCACTCTCTTGATACTGAATTCTTAGAGGATGACTCCCCAACTGTTAGCAGCCAAAATACTAATGTGGTACATCCTGTTAGCTCCCCAGGTGACAGTTCATCTGAGGATGAAGCTCGTGTTGCTCCACCTTCTCAGCGAAGTACCCGGCAAAAGCAACCTGCTCGCAACTGTATTTTTTGTCATCATGAGATCAGGGAGAGTGTGATGAACAGTCCCATAGAAGCAAGTGGCCTACATGTGGTGCACAGGAAAATAAGGGTCTTAGCTCAACGTGCAACATGTGGCATGTGGCATCGACAAGTTTGCTCTGTGAAAATGACATTACTCTCCCGTCTAGCCATTCCAGCAGTATGTGCGGTAATGAGGGTTTTTGTACAGTTGGCATGCTTCCACCAATAGCAAGTCGTGTGCTGATTGGTTGGACTGGAGGGGGCTATTTACAAAAGCGAAGAACGCTGATTGGTTGGTTGACTGTGGTGTTGGCCTGATAAAAGAAGGCTGAAGCTGTGAGAAGGAAAAGACAGATTTACATTCTGAAGTGTTCAGAAAGCAAGAACGGCGGATTGAACCAGCAATATCTTGAATTGTACAAGAGACATCTTAGTAATAGAGACTCATTTAAGCTACAATCATTATGGTCATGGAAGAAGAGAGAAGAAAGAATTGGTAAACCATATCCTAAACTGGGAATGAGGGTTGATACTCTATTACTGTTCAATAGATATGAAAGGCGTGTTGGCTGGACGATAGGGCTTCCTGTTTTATTTATGATAGCCCATGACACCAGAAGAAGATGTTTGTGGTATAACAAATAGTTTAACTTCTCCTGAATAATCGATAAATTTTTTTTTTTTTTTTGGCAATCTGGCAAAGTGGTATCTAACATGAAAGTGCACATAAAGAGGTTTATCAGTGAACAGACACCAAATGGTGAAGGTGAGCACAGTTGGTTTTTTATAGCTATGTATGTTACAGACTACGATCTAGTTTCTATGGAAAGAAGAGGTTTTACTTTCAATGATCACCTTTTATTGTGTGAAAAATCATTGTGTGAAAAAAAATCATTGAAATTAACATCAATAAAGAAATAATCTAATGATTTATTATTCTTAAAAAAAAAAAAAAAAAAAAAACTTATTCAATCTTAAAACATAAAACTGCTTTATTCATGCTTACCCTAAAGTTGCTGTACAAAGACATCATTAGATTTAAAAAGAAGTGTCACCCTCAACAGGTCATCCCCAAACAACTCCTGCTTATATTGTCCTCAACAATAGTGTTTGATTTGATCTGAGGATCTAGAGGGATGTTATTAGAAACATTATGTGACATCTGTTAGGTAATTTCTATAGATTTATCTTTTAAAGATCAACAGATTTTCTTAATAATCAGTTGCTTTAATTTGTAACCATTTATGCTGGAAAAAGTAATTCTCTCAATCACCACAGTAAACATATTGGAATTCTGTACACCAACACTGTCAATGCTGCATTATTATAGGCTTGTTGCATGACTGTGCTGGCCCATTTTGGAAAAATATGAAATTACCACTTAAAATAAATGGCTATAAAGATACTGATAGTAATTTCCCAGTGGTACTAATATCTTGGTTTCAATTGGGTACTCTATATTGCACACTAGGCTAAATCACACCACCAATACACAATAAAAATACA